ATTTTTCAAGTCTGACACGTTTGTTTTGATTGTAACAACCACGTGAACCCTATAAAGGGTGGGCAGATGTTTTGAGAAAAATTGCAGAAATGAAGCCCAAGCAAGATCCCATACAGTCCAGCAACACTGTGTTTTCTGTGTAGAGAATCTTTGCTGACAGCCGAAGGGATAAATAAGGATCTCCTGAGCAGCAGTTTGTTCTACACTTAGGCAGGAAGCAGTTAGGCTAGAGATGAAGTGCAAAGGTAGAAAGAACGAGGGAGAGCTAGGAATCAGGGAAAAGAGAAAGAAAAAAAAAAAAGGGAGGGAAAGTGAAGAGGCAAAAAGATAAGAAGACGAGATTATTAAAATTGCACTTAAAGGATAGGTTCATCTTTTGCTTGGGCAAGATTAAAGAAATGCATATTTAATAATATAAAAAAATATGCATTTCTTTCATTTTTGCATTTAAGCCTGGAAAGCATTGCAACTGTGATCACTCGATCAGGGCTACAGAGCTCAGGCTTCTGCACATTCTCTCCCAGGCAAAGCTCCATACTGAGGTACGGAGTGTCAGGAGAGATGGGGGCTGGACTTCAAACTGCATTAAATCAGGTCATACAGCGTCCAGCCGTCCTCTCTCTGGTTAGATGCGGTAGAGCTGTCTTTATTCCAGTCTAGCCATCCTTTCCCATCTCTCCTAACTGAAATTCCGTACATTAGTACGGAATTCTGACAGTTTGAGAATGTGTACCTTTTTTCTGTGATACACGACACGCGGCTGTTGTAGCCGTGATCTTGTTCAGAAGCACGGGCGGAATCACATCGGAAAACCGCGCGATCCGCCCGGCGCGACTGGGGTGCCATTGGAAAATAATGGCACCCACAGCGTGATCGATACACACCTGGGTGACTCCTGACCGCGCGGCAATCTGTGCAGAATCGTGCACGATTGCCGCGCGGTAGGGTGTCGCCTAGGTGTGCACCGGCCCGTAGTACTACAAATACTTAGTTGTCCTGCCAGTGAAGTCCACCTAATGAAGCTTTTTGTCATGGTGTGGCAACAAAGGAACTGCTTTATTTACTTAGGTTTGTGTATTACATGATATCTGAAATTTTGTACTTGTTTAGACTGTTACACAGGAGTCTTTAGCTGTTATAAATAGTTGTAAATGGCACCATAACCATTCCCTGCAGCAAGGTAAATGTATGCTTCGTTTAGCATTTTTATGTTGTGTTTCTGTGTTAAAGGGGAACTATGGTCTTCTAAATGTTCTTTAGATATACAGGATATAAATGGATGCCTATTAGAGTGTTAGAATACCTCCATACTAGGGATGCACTGAAATTTCGGCCGCTGAAAAATTTCGGGCGAATGCCTCTCGGCGGCATTCAGCTATTCACTCACTGCCGTTCAGCCCCTATGTGCATAGGGGCGAGCTGCTGGAGCGTTGGCTCAGCCAATCCAGATGCAGTGCTATGTGTGACGCCTGGAAGTCCTAGCAAACATTGTAGCAGCCAGAGATGAAGAAGAGATGAGTTTTCAGGGATTGCCTAAAGACAGAGTAGAAAATAGCCGGACAGGTTGGGAAGGGAGTTTCAAAGGATGGAAGAGACTCTAGACAAGTCCTGGAGGCGAGCATGGGAGGACGTGGTGAGGGAGCTAGAGAGCAGGAGGTCTTGGTAGGAGCAGAGGGGAAGGTTTAAGTTACGTCAGAAACAGGCAAAATAGGGCACACATGCACTCTTACTAAAATACTGAGACAGCCAAGCCTTTATTTATCAGTGTGCCTGCACTGCCTGAAAAAAACTGTCTGATTTACAATATATTTCTCAAACTGTATTTTCCAGCATAGGTATGAATCTGACTGTATGTTTTGAGGCAATACGTACAGTTCTTTTCAGCCACTGACATGCTTCGGTAATAGTGACTGCAAAGACTGACCAAAAGAACAAATAGGTTAAAAATGGAATGACACTGCATGGAAAGAGCATACAGTTCAAAAATAGATAAATGTGGGATTGCTATTGCACAGAAATGTATGACATAAATGACAACGTTATTGTGCAGTGTGACTTAATAGAGTTTTTTTCTGTTTAAAGCTTATCAAAGTACCCTTTTCTATAGCTTAATGTGTCTGTGTGTCCTAGTTCAGTCTACTTTTTAATCTGAAAAGTTGAAAATTGTACTTGCAAAACACTGAAATTAAATCTTCCTTTTGCTGGCATTTCTGTGAAGTGTTAATTCTTCTTAAAGGAGGATTAGGGGTGAGTGGAAAACACTCATCCCTATAATTCAAGCCAACCTGTGACAAAGAAGCTGTCACAGGATGGCTCTATTGATTGGGTAGTCAGCGAACACACACTGCAGATCGCTGACTTCCCGAACCTCTCCCTGCAGAGAGCCGTGAGTGACAGTCGAGGGGGGGAATCCCTGCAGGGAGCCGTGAGTGACATACACGGCTCTCTGCAGGGATAGATCGAGAAGTGAGCGAGCGACGATATGTGTTCGCTCACTTCCCGATCTACTGAGCCGACCTGTAACAGTTTCATTGTCACAGGTCGGCTCAGATTATGAGGCTGAGTGAAAATCACTTGCCTCATAATTCTCCTTTAATCTATTTTTGTTAGCTCTCCAGTAGCCTCCCTTCAAACCCATTAGGGATGCTCCCTTGGTGGACCTTACCCATAAGGTGGCCTTTCTCTTGGCTATCATGTCCGAAGATGGGTTTCGGAATTGGCAGCTTAATTCTGCAAAGAGCCCTCCCCTATTCTCCATAGTGATAAGGTGGTCCTGAGGCCTCAGACTTCCTTCCAATAGCCTGCTATATGTTGAGTTTTGGGTCACAGGAGAACATAGTAAATGTTCTCCTGTGACCTAAAGAGAACTATGGCCAAAAAGGTTGGGCCATAGTTCTCTTCCAAATTTCTCTGAACAGTATCCTGCGTTCTCCTTGTCCTGCTCCAAAGCTTCCCAAAAAGGTTTCATAGTACTTCTTAGATGTGGTGCGGGCAGTGTGGTTCTATCTATTCTCTCAGTCACAGCCTCCATCCAACAGATAACTTTTCTGTCCTACCTGGGGCCTCCCGCAAGGGGGGTGCAGCATCTCGTTCCACCATAGTTAGGTGAATAAGACAGGTCATCATATAAAATGTATACTTTGAAAGATAGGGTTCTTGCCTTTCTGGTTAAGGCTCAATCGACCAGGTCTATAGGCTTCACTTTGGCCTTTCTGCACCAGGTGTCTGTTTCACAGATTAGCAAGGCTACCATCTGCTTCATACATTTTTAATATTCTACCATGTGGATGTTCAGGCCTCTGCTGACGCCAGCATCGGATTTATTGTGAATCAGGTTGCTCTTTGAGTTTGTAATTGGTTCCCTTGTTGGTTCTTTTGGTCCTGTTGCTGTTGTTTGCTGTGTTGCCCAACCCTCAGTATTGCTTGGGGGCGTCCCAGGGTCTATAATTAAAAGAGTCTGTGTCCTGTACTGTACAATTAAGAAAATAATATTTTTGATTTGCCTGTAAAATCATTTTCTTGGAGTATAGTACAGGACAGCGGACACCCTCCCCTCTGCCTTGGCGGTGACTCTCAATGCTTGCTACGAAGGTGAGGATTGATGGGAGCGGGAGGGGTTATATGGGCTGTCCAATAGTTCTGTCTGCCAGTGTCCAATCATTTGAAGGTAGGTACAGATATCCCAGGGTCTGAAGTGGTTAAATTGCAACTTAAGCCAGAACTTTTTTTTAAGCCTTGGATAGAATGGATTAGCGCACAGGAATAGAACAGGTTTTTATTGCTGTCTGTGTCCCTGTTAGGGTGATTCACCCTCTATGTTTGTCCTGGTGACAGTTACTATTGAAAGTGAAAGAAAATATAGAATTTTGGGCTGTTAGCAGAACAGAAAAAGATGGGTAATCTGCCATTGGCCACGCTAGTCCTGCTGATCCTTTGACCACCAGGGATTTCCCTCTGGAGGGATTTCCTCTCACGTCCTGCTAAAGCTATCAGACAGGAAGTAAAGAGAAATCTACCCCAAAAAAGCTAACAGGGTTTATAACCCTCCCTTACTCTATCCAAAACAAACGTTTTGGCTTCAGTTCTACATTAAAGGAGAATTATGGGAAGAGTGAAATACATTCATCCCCATAATTAGAGCTGACGTGTGACACTGAAACTGTTACACGTCAGCTCTATAGATTGAGAACGAACGATCACATATCAGTGATTGCTCAGTTCCCAATCGTCTTCCTGCAGAGAGCTCCACAGGGATTCCCCCCTGCCCTGACTGGAAGGACCGGCGAGGGAGGGGGGCACAGCTAGCTCTGCTTCTAGAGAGGCAGAGCCAGCTGTCAATCAGGCGGCGGGGTGGATCCCAACAATATTGTCTGGATTTTACCTGGCCGAAGCACGGCTCTTTGCTGTCATCATGTTGTGGGCAATGGCCCGCTATATGCTGAGTTTTGGGTCACAGGAGAATATAGTAAATTTCCTCCTGTGATCCTAAAGAGAACTATGGCCGAAAAGGTTGGGCCATAGTTCTCTTTTAAATGAGCTATCACTGTATCGGTCAAAGCCAAGAGGCAGCAAAACCAGTTTCTTTTTACTTCTAGAAGAAACTGTTTTCTTTATGTTTGCGGAACAAGATGGGATCCAAGGGGATGTTTTAAATTAGGATTCTGAATAAAAAAGCAAGCCACAAAATCCTTAACTTGGACACAATACCTAACACAAGTACCTAAAAGGTCATGGCCATTTTGCAGTTTGGCGGAAGGCCCAGGTATCATCCCACTATATACATAGCTAGTTAAAGCAATAATCTATTCTCGGTTAACAGAAATGTGGAAAAAGACAAAGTTTTGTCAGACATCTCTGGAAAATATAGAAGCAAACATTTATGTACTTCTAATAGTTATTAGGATAATAGTATATTTCTTAATCTGTGCTTAATTTCTTCTGTACCTACATTTTTGTCCAAGCTGCATATTGATTCTGTTTTTTTGTATTGTATTTTGCAGGTTGGAAAACTGTGGTAGCATTGCACAGTGGAGCAATAGCATGTATGTACATTATAATTTATTAGTAGAGTGTATGTAAAGACAATAAACAGATCTGTTTATATCCCTTTTTATAAGTTTTTAACTACTTTGTCTGCATTTCTGGTGCTGGGAGTACTGCTAATATGCAAATTAACCGATTTCCCGAACCAGATTCCCAGAATAATTTCTTGCCTGTGCACAGGCTGCTTTATGTTTGTTGACAATCAGTGGGAGACACTAATGTGTCTGTGTCCATCCTCACCACTAAGAGCTATGATATATGAGATATATGAGGAGGGGCAGTGGCCACACAAAGTTCCTAAATTAATTTTTTCACTTTTCTGTGACTGTTGGAAATATGAGGATCCTTTAAGAGCCTTTTTTTAATAAAAAAAAAAAATCTGATGTGCTAATGTATCAGCATTCGCACAAAAGTCTGGAATATTACCCTTGCAAATATTTTTAATATGCACAAAGTGTTATTTTCTGATATTCAGTTGGTTGTTCGCTGGTCGAATGTAACAGTCATTTTGCGAATCATCATGAAGGTTAATAGAATGTGTTAATTATTATACATGTTATTGTAGGCTCTGCCACCTATAAGCAGTCCTGGATTCAACATATTCTAAGAACGTTCGATCCTTAGAGAAAATGCCCGATAACATTCGATTAGAAGAGAAAATAGTAATACCCTAAGAACATTTGATTGATTGATTGGATGATTAGAAGAGAAAATACCCTTAGAACATTAATTACTAAGAAAAAGCCTAAGAACATTTGATCAGAAGCGAAAATACCTTAAGACCATTAGATTTTTCCACAATTCACACAACAGCCACAGCTTTAAAAATTTTGCAAACCCCTAAGGCATCTTTCACATGGATCCCCTCCTGATTGGAACAGATGTCATCGTTGTGGCACCTGTGTCTGTGCTGACATTACCGGACCCATGTTAGTGTACGGGCAGCCGGATCTAAACGGAGGGTCGTCCATTTACATCCGGTTACCCCTGATCCGGCATGATCAGGTCTGCCAAAACAGATCTCTAACACGTTTGTTTTTCTGGACCTGGCTGGAGGCGGGGGTAACCTGATGTAAACGGATGCCCATCTGTTTAGATCAGGGGTCCGGCCCTCCAGCTGGGGTGACACTACAAATCCCATGATGCATCTCTCTCCGGGAGTCATGTCTGTGGCTGTGAGACTCGTGCAATGCCTCATGGGATTTGTAGTTCCACCACAGCTGGAGGGCCGGAGTTTGGCTACCCCTGGTTTAGATCCAGCTGAAAAATTGACCGGCGGACCTGATCGGAAAGCCCGTGTGAAAGGGGCTCTACAACTATTGAGCGAATGCTGATTAATTCACACAGAACAAATGTAAATGCAGTTTCTCTGGGTGAATGCAAGTAGCTAAGCATGCTATGTTTTTTTCCAGTCTATATGGAAACAGTGCTTAGTAGAATTATTTTTTTTCAATGTTTAATAGCAAGGTTAAGAAGAAAACCTTCTAATGCTGATCGCTTAAATGGTTTACAGGCTGGCAAAATTAAGATTTAACTTGGATGCCGGCATTGCTGACCCTACACATTGTATTGTTCCAGCCAATATCCTACACTCTTTACTCACTTTGCCTGTGTGCAGATGGCTCTGGAATACTTGCTTTTGGTGCAAATGAGTCCATCAGATTCAGGAAGAGGTGCTGCAGGGTGTGTTGTGGTCACTGCGGTAGGGTAGCCCATTCATTTGAATGGGCTCCCTACCGCAGCCAAATCGCACTCAAAGAAGTTCATGCTCCTTATTTTTCAATTGCATTGCACCACATCCATGGTAATAGATTACCATGCGGCATGGTGTGATTCAACGCACAAACAATGACTAGGTGCTTTGGGGTGCGATTGAGAAATAATGGCACTGTAGCGCACCTAACATTGCAACATGTGATGGGGGATCGTGTGCTGCATTGCACGCACTCCAGTAGTGCAAAGATGTGAAAGAAACTGAAGGCAAAGGTTGTGTAGGCAGAGAAGTCAATCAGTGGGTCTGCTTTAGGTCTTCAAATCTTCAGAATGGAACTGTGGAGGTTTGTAAAATCTTGTCAGCCTGCTTACCTTGCTTTTTTCTATCCACAGTTTATTTGATATTATTGTCTTCTTTCATATTATAATCAGGAATCTCACCATGTTTTTAAATTTGTTTTCAATTATCAAATAAATATAATAAAAATTTTGAACAGTGACTTGTCACTTTTGTTGTTATGCACACAAAGTTGTTATGTGATGCACAAATGTTCGGAACAAATGGTATAGGCCAGCTTGATATTATGACTAGCAAGCTGTGTGACCTAGAGAAGAGTTCATTATAAACTAGCTTCCTCTTAGCAAGCATGACAGCGAATGTGCAATGGAAAGCCCCTCATTTAGTGTTTCCTTTTTCTGCTTTCGCAGCACACCACTGCTTCAGTCACTGCAATGAATGGGGACACTATTCAACCTGAAAGTTCCTCCATCCCTCAGGGCTGGAATGAGTTCTGTGAGCTTCACGCCATCTCCACAGCAAGGGAGCTGGCAAAGCAGTATTGGTTGTTTGCAAATCAGAACCCACACCATGACATCCTTGCCGCAGAGAACTTCTCCTTGCAGTTCACGGATCTCTTCCAACAGTATTTCAGAAACGAGGTGAGGGAAGGCTGGGGCATGGACCAATACAGGATTTTTCCTTTCAGTAGAGTAAAAGATTACAGAGAGACAGGTAGCAGGACATCAGCGGAGCCTCCTAGTACGGTTGCAGCAAAAGTAGAGGTGGACTTAACACCTCACCGTGAAAATACAGAACAGACAGCTAGTGACACTGCTGTCCACAATGTGCCAAAAACTTGGAGTACAGAGGAGCTTGGAAACAACCTTACTCCTCCTCCTCCACGACCATTCATTAGATTCTCCTTCAATCAGTTTCGTAGAAGCCTTCGAAATATATTCCGTAGGAGATCTGCAGATTCAAATCCTCCAGAAAATAGGGAAATGGACTCGGATACAACTGACTCACCTTCCTGGAATGGCTTACATAAGAGGATTTTACCATGGACTTTAATCAGGGAGCCAGTTTTTGATATCCGAAAGGAAGGAATTTTGAACTACAGCATGGTAGATGAGGCAAGTATGGACAGTGGAACACTTTGGCTGAAATGCAAATTAGTTTTACGCAAAGCAAGCCCTTCAGACAATGAAGAATATCTTATGGAGTTGTTTGACCCACCAAAGGTAAGTGATTTGCAAATTTGTATTTATCTTACTCTTTTATATGTATTGGAGTTTTGTAACTATATTGCCTACTGCAGTTAAGTTCAAATTTCTTAATTTTTTTTGAATGCTGTCCTGCGTATGAGATTTATAACATTACGTTTATGGTTTTTATGGTGTTAATTTTTTATGTTATACCATTGAGGTGGAACAGATATGCGTTCATGGAATATATGCGTTTGCACAGGGCTCCTTTGCGGCAGATGCATTGCTAGGCGTGCAGTAACACGTTGCGCTGTAGTGCATTAGAAGAAAGTCCTGCATGTTTCATTTTGTGGACTTACAGTCTGCTATTCAAGTCAATTGAAAAAAGTATTTTTAAAATAACATGCAGTAACACTAGTCCTAAATCAAGCCAAACGATGACAAATGGCAAACAAATCTAATTAGGAGAGTGAATCAGAAATGCACAGTATCTACCAATTGCTATAACAAATACCGCATACTGTATATGCAGCTGTCATTTTTAACTAAGACATTTTACTTCCTTTTTTAATAATACATTAGAAATATAGCATGCCTGTAAAATGTATATAAAAAAAGGTGCAAATGATAATTTAAATGAATCTTCTGTTTTACATTGGCAATTGTAGCTTATGTGAAGCCAACATTTTTTTTGATTTTTTTTTAGATTTATTTCCATTTATTGTTTTTTTTAAATGAATCTGACATGCACAGTCAGCAAAAAGGCAAAATGTTTCTTAATTTTTAGATAGAGAAAGGAAAGGACAGAAACTCTTTTAAGTTTTTAGTGCAATCCATGGCTATGTTGAAAAGATTTTCCCTTACGTCCTGTCATCCTGCAAATGTTTTACCAGACAGGAAGTGTGTGAAAGTATCCAACAGAAACACAGATAGAAGTAAAAAATGCCTTTCTTTAGTAGAGAAGGGAAAGACTAGAACCCCTGTAAGATTTTATTTCTGTAATTTTCCTTGTTACAGATTTTCCCTCACTTCATGTCTGGTAGATCTGTTGTCATGCAGGACAGGAAATAGGAGCAAATGACAAGTAACAAGAGCCCCAAATAGCAGTAAAAAGCCAACAGAGCTCTAATCCTTGAACAGAGCAAACATTTGCATATTTTTGATCAAAATCCTATGTAATACCTAATTGATCCCCTTTTCGAAAAAGCTAATCATGCTACCCCAGTGAGATACATTACACATGTTAGTGAGAATAACTAAAACTAAAAACCAAAAATACTGTTTTAGGACTACAACAGATTTTAGCACAAGTGCCCCCCCCCTCCCCCCAAACCATTTACCTCCAATATACAAATATAACAACTCAATATTCCCTTCGACCCTATATTTTAAAACCCTATCTTGTAGTGATGAGAACTCACTAAGATATGATCACTAAGCTGACAGCATAGGTGCTGTTAGATTCATATGCCTCAGCTTGAGGCCCCTTCACACTAACCTTCCCTGTAACCCTAACTCTACACCCCCTGAATAAACCTAATCCCCTGTTTGCATATGTATCACTCCTACCCAGACGCCCTCTGCAAGATAGACTATCCTTTCTGCTCTGAAGCAAGCGTTAAAATCTCTTGCTTCAGAGAGCGGCCCGTGTAAGGAGAGAATTAAAAGAGAACTATGGGGTATGTGTTTTTCCCCATAGTTCTCCTCAGGGTCACGGGAGGACATATACTAGCGTCCTCCTGTGACCCATAGCTCAGTATATCGCGAGCTACAGCTCACGGTATACTGAGACCGCTGCAGCCGGGACAGATCCCGATATTACTGTCGAGATCCACCCAGCTGCGTGAGTGACATCTGCCTATCTAGAGGCAGAGCCAGCTGTGCCCACCCCCTCCCCCTTCCGTTCCTCCAGTCAGCGCTGGGGAATCGGAGCGGGCAGGGGGGGAACACCTGCAGGGAGCCGTGACTGACAGTCACTGCTCTCTGCAGAGAGATGATCGAGAAGTGAGCGAGCGACAGTATGTGTTTGCTCACTTCCCGATCTATTAAGCCGACGTGTAACAGTTTCATTGTCACACGTCGGCTCGAATTATGAGGAAGAGTGATTTTCATTCACCTCATAGTTCTCCTTTAAGTAATGATAATGTTAAAAAAGTTTTGCCTAATTATTGTTAGAATATGTACAGTATTTAAAAATGCATGTCTGCAGAAATAACCTGAAGACACCCAGTCACTTTGTCTGGTCAGGCATCGAGGGAGCATAGAGTGATGAATATACCATGCTGGAGGAACAGGAGGGGAGGGGTATCAGCAGACACTGAATGCTCAGTGACAGAGTCAATATTTTCAACTGAGCTAGATGACGAGAAACTGGATCTTAAAACTATATGGTTTTACTATCTTTTACTGTTGATTGGTGTTTATGTCTATAGAGAGCAAAACTGTGACTAATCTGATTTTGTATTAAGTTGTACACCGGTGATCCAATGGTGTCAAATAAATCGTAACATATTTATTGCAAAACATGGAAAAACAAAAGCCAGAGCCCTGTGCGGTGTGACTGTTGGGTACATTTGTCCACCACCTGCTCCAACAAATGCTAAAAATATTCTTCAATGCACAAGTAAACGTTTCATAGCTTTGAAGTTGGATTAAAAGAACCATGCCCTTTAAAGACATCCATTTAAGAGGGTGAAGGAAGAGTGGTCTGTAAACAAAACTCTCCACAGTTTTTAGGTGTATCCGCAGTACACAGAGGGGGAGCTGCAGGACGATGGGACCCAACAATTGTCAGCAAAGTAAAATATATATCGGGATTGGATGTTCTAATTATTGTTGTGAAGTGATACATCTCAATAAAGGACTTGAACAGAAAACAAATCTTGTGCAGAGAATTATCTGCATTGAGATCAGAGTATCACCAGAAATGATTCAAGCCTCATGTATGAGAGTATTTAAAGCCCAACTGAACCATTGACCTTTATTACTTTTATGCAGCCAGGCTACATATAGCTATTTTACTGTTTTTACATTGCTGTGTGCTGCAGCAAGGGTAATATCCTGTGCAGGCAGCACATAGGAGAGCACAGCTCTGTCATACAAAACAGTCAACCCGGCTTTCCAGCAGTGCAATGCGTTCCCTCACACTACTACTCCAATCAGCAGCACTGCTCAGGAAATAAGAGTGCGGTTGATTAGAGCAGTGTTCAGTGACGGAATGTTGTACTTCTGGAGAGCCGTACCACTGCATTGTGTGAGGGGGCTGAAGTCCAATTATCCCCTGTGCTTGCAACACAGGGTATTTTATCTGCAGCATTTAGCAGTGTCCAAATATCAACGAGCCCCATGTTTATTACTGTATCCTAGCTGTATTACAGTAATAAATATCAAGGATTCAATTGGGCTTTATAGGAGAAGTATTGGGAGAGTAAAATGTACTCTCCCTAATACCTAGAGCCAACGTGTGACACTGCAGCTGTCACATGCCGTCTCTATAGCTCGAGAGCTAATCGATCATGAACCTCTGATTGCTCGGCTCACGGTCTTCTCCCTGCAAAGAACGGTGACTGTAAGTCACTGCTCCCCGCAAGGATTCCCCCCACCCCTCTCGGTACCTCCAGTACTCATTGGTGGGACAGACGTGGGGGGAGGTGGGCACAGCTGGCTCTGGCTCTAGAGAGACAGAGCTAAATGTCAATCATGTAGCGGGGTGGATCTCTACAATATTGTCAGAATCTTTCCCGGCTGTAGCGCATCTCTGCACTTCAGCAAATGGTGGCCAGTAGCTCTGTACTCTTTTGATCCAAAAAAAAGGTTTTTGCTGTAGTTCACTTTTCAAAGCAGAAATACTTGTGTAGCAGCTTCTTTGTTTTTTCCTAACTTAAACTTAAGGACAACTTCAATTTCAAACATTTTGATACAAAAGCTCCACTGAGTTTTGTTCAGTTTATGAACATTTTCTCTATGTATTTGCTCACGATAATATCTCATCTGTGTTGGCCAAGTTGCAGTTTAGTTTTTCTGGCCGTGTAGTTTTTTAAATAACTGTGCGCACCAGTTATGAAAACACACTTAACAAACACAGCGGTTTGTATGGAAATTCTGTGCCTGTGTAACTTTATGATGGTTTGCCCTAGTTTTGCATAGTTCTCTTACTTTTGCATGATACCGACTGTCAGGCAATTGTATTTATTTTGGCAAACAAGAAGACTTGACAGTTGGGGCAGGTGATTTCCTCAGGAATAATTATTTCATCAGTTTCGTAGATTTGGTCCTGTTTGAGGAGTGAGTGATAAAACTTTGTGAAATGTATATTCCACTGTGAAAGGAAAAGAGCCAACATCTGAACTGTGTCATCAGTGAAAGCTAAGAGGGAGTCAGGTAAAGGGCAGGGATGGTTCATTTCTGATAACAGCTGAGTAAACCAGACATTTAACCACAGGGATTCAGTGGTCACACCAGCTGGTATCTAAGATTAAGTCATTTAGAAGTTTGGGCCTATAACTATTGCCAGTGTAACTCCTGGTGACATTTCTGCCAAAACTAGGACAAGCTTGGCAAGATAATGTTGTGCTGGGTTCCTTGCCTTGATAAACCTTTGTAGAGCCTGTGTATGTAGAGATGTAAACCATACATGCCTATGTCTGGACTAGTGTAAGAAGGAGCAATAGCAACATATCAGAGGGGCTGACAACAAAAGCCTACTGTGTTAGAGGGAGATTGATGTGCCTTGGGAGATACTGCCCTATTAGGAACAATCTGCCATACATAAGACTGCTCTGTGAGAGGCTACCATGTTGCAGACCAGCCATTTTGATGGAGAACTGTGGGAGAAAATTCTGTGTACAGCTTTTCATCAAGAGATACTGGTCTGGGAAAAACTTCCCTTGTATAGGGACAGTGGGTTGGATATACTAAAGGAATAGAGGTTGTTCACTTAGCAAAGTGAATGTTAGTGAGTAAGTTGATGCTGTGTTCATTTTCATTAATCAATCATATGCTAGGAAAAAAATCTTTTTAGACTGGCTTTACACCTG